GTTGCGTGTCAAGGCTTTGTTACGCAAGAAAACAAGTGTGCATCTATCCGACCCTCTTACTGTAAGTGAGCTCCAACAAGCAGAATCAGCCATTCTCAATTACATACAAACTGCATCTTTCGGATCTTCTCAAGCAAAACCCAGTTCTCTTCTCAAGCTTAAACCCTTTGAGGATGAAAACGATCAACTCCTTCGTGTGGGAGGCAGACTAACAAATGCCCCAATTCCCTTTGAGGCAAAACATCAAGTGATCCTACCTAACAATCATCATGTCACTCATCTGATTATCAGTCACTACCATCTTCGCCTGGGTCATGCAGGTCCAGAGCGAGTACTTGCAGAAATTCGTCAACGTTTCTGGATTCTAAAGGGACGGACCGTCATTAACCGAACTCTCAAGTCATGTCTACAGTGTCGCAAGTTAAGAGCTAAGCCACAAACCCAGCAAATGGCGGACTTACCTGATTCTAGAGTGACTCCAGGTGAGCCTCCATTCACTCGTGTGGGCACAGACTACTTCGGGCCATTCTTGGTTAAGAAGGCACGCAGTGAGCTCAAGAGGTACGGATGTTTGTTTACATGTCTCACTACGAGAGCAATCCACTTGGAAGTTGCACACTCCCTCGATACCGACTCGTTTATCAATGCCTTACAGCGATTTATCTCCAGGAGAGGCCCACCCATGGAAATACGTTCGGATAACGGGACTAATTTTGTCGGTGGATTACGAGAGTTGCGGAAAGCCATCAGTGAGTGGAATCAACAAAGGATTTCAGATTACCTTCTACAGCACAATGTAAAGTGGATCTTCAATCCACCTGCCGCCTCCCACATGGGTGGTGTTTGGGAGAGGCAAATTCGCACTGTTCGTTCCATTCTTAACACTGTCCTCTCACAGCAGGCACCAGATGATGAAGGTTTGGCAACACTGTTTTGCTGTGTTGAGTCTATTGTCAATGGTAGACCAATCACTAAACTATCAGACGACCCGTCAGATCCTCTACCACTCACACCAAATCATCTGTTGTTGCTTCGTTCAGGTCCTACTCTACCTCCGGGAGCCTTCGTAAAACAAGACCTTTACCGACGCAGATGGCGCCAGGTGCAATATCTGGCAGATGTCTTCTGGTGCAGATGGCTCAAGGAATACTTGCCTGCACTGCAACAACGCCAAAAATGGCTGCAACCAAAGAAAAATCTTCAAGTAGGAGATCTTGTGCTTATTCTGCATGAGAACACACCACGCAATCACTGGCCTCTAGGTCTGCTTACTCAAGTCTATCCAGGTGCAGACGGACTTGTGCGTACTGTGGAAGTGAAGACACAGGCAGGTGTCTTCATCCGTCCTGCAGACAAGATCTGCCTCCTAGAAGCCAGTCTTCTTAGTTGATTTAGTTTAATTGTCACATCACCCTTACTTTGTTTGAATGACCTGTTTGGGTCATTGGGACCGGGATGTAGGGTGCTGCCCCTTTAAGGACGTTGATTCTGTGGGCTCATGGGATCGCGGAAGAAGAGGCGCTGTAAAAAAAAAAAAAAAACTGAACCGAACCGAACTGACCGAGAAAGCAACGTTGATGCTCATTTGCAGACTTTCTTATGTTCTACAACAATTACAGCTAAACACTTAATCTGAACTATATGTTCCCAGCGTGGTAAGTCAAATGTTGTTGTTATAAGTATATTGATAAAAGCACTATGTAGATCGCCATTCGCGATTAGCGCCTAAACGCCTAATGCTATTAGTTTGTTAGTTTGGATTGACATTTGGTTTAAATTGCTTATTTAAACATATATGCAATATGTGTAGCATTTACAAGGTTTAATAGGTGTTTGTAATACAGCGACTGTTTAGAAATCTGTATTGATAGTTTTATTACACACATGTGATAATATTTAATGCCTACATAGTCTACCACGTGTGATATTTGCTTTGTACGGAATATCTTTGATTTATAATGTTTATCATCTAAGCTGATGTTATGTTGTAGAAAACTTATTTGGGAAAATGATACATGACTGGAAACTAAAGGTGAATTATTTGTATTTACAGTTTGACCGCACGCACACACTTATGTGTACATTGTGAGTTCTGCACAAGTGGAATAAAGAAAAGAGAAAACACAAAATCCAAGTTAATGTTATCATTCATGGGTAACAAAAGGTTTGTAGCTTGTTCTTTCCCCCACTGACCCAGAGTTATAACAAAAAAAACATTAGTTAAACTCAACCTGTCCCTTTTGATTCATTTGTTCAGTATTTTCCAAACTCATAGTGTTTCCACAACATAACTTAAGAGGCAATTTGTGTGTGTGGCGTTCATCATCTCCCCCTTTCTCTGAAGCTTCGCTGGAAACAGTGCATTTAGCGAGGTAACTGGTGAAGCTACAATAGTTTGGAACATACTGAACATGTGGATCAATAATGGAGATCAGGTTTGCAACCTGTGGAGGATTCAAACTTTTTAGAGCTACTTTTGAGGTTAAAGGAAGTGAGCATTTAATGTTTTTGTCTACAACCATGCAAACAGCTCTGTTCTTAGCAATGCTTTAAATGCTAACATCAGCATACTAAAATGCTTAAAATAAAAATGCTAACACGCTGATGCTAAGCAGTACAGAAGCCCCAAGAGGCCATCCATTCAAATACTTTTTACTCCATTTTCCCGTTATAACAAGATCACTTTCTCGTGATCTTGAGATAATAAACTATAGCTGGTCAGCAGGTGCGTGTCTTTAAGATAATTTCAGAAAACTGTCAGTGTCACTGTGTAGCTCATTAAAAGTAGCTTAGATGTAAATAAGCTACTTTTGCCACATTGCTGTAGCTTAGCTTGCTACATTTCACTGGGGGGTAGCTTCTGTGTAGTGAAGCTTCATTTAATGTCGAGTAGCTAGTAGCTTAGCTCACTACATTTTTCAAGTAGCTTGCCCAACAAAGTCAGTGACACTAAAATCCATACAGAAATTACCATTAAGAAACGTTCCTGCCGACCTGTGTTTAAATAGTGTTTTGTTATCTTGAGATCACAAGCAAATTATCAAAATGGAGTAGAAAAAATATTTGAATCAATGGTTGCTTAGGGCTTCCGTAAAGCAGGTATAATGTTAACCATGTTCACCATCTTAGGTTAGTGTTAGCATGCTAACATTAGCTAATTAGCTCTAAGAGCAAAGTACAGCTGAAGCTGATGGGAATGTCATTAGTTTTGCAGGTGTTTAGTCCTAACTCAAAGTATAGGACACATTTTAATTTTAACCTGATGGTGGCGCTAGAGGAAAAGTCAGGGGCTCACCAAAGTCATTAAGGTTAATCCTCTGAGGGACCTGAATGTCTGGTCAGAATTTTGTGCCAGTCTCCAGGATAAGGGTGGTGATGGCGCATAGATGCCTTGGTGTGGGAGACCTGGGTTCAATTCCCACTGTGACCCATCCACCATTGTGTCCCTGAGCAAGACACTTACCCCCTAGTTGCTCCAGAGGCGTGCGACCTCTGACATGTATAGCAATTGTAAGTCACTTTGGATAAAAGCGTCAGCTTAAATGAATAAATGTAATAAGTGACAGCTCTGACCTGCTAAAGAAAAAGTCAGGAGAAGTTAACCAGTTGACATGGTCATAGGTTTTTTAATCAATCATCTTATGGTATTCATTATATTAGAACATCAGTTAAGCCAACTAACTGAGCTAAGAGACCAGGTAAATTTCATATGGTAAAACAGCACCAGGCCTTTCAATTTCATAAAGGTTTGGTGTTTTTTGGCTCCACCCACACAACGTAGTTTAAGATTGACCAATCAGATTACTTCTTCTATAACTGAGACCCCAATCTGCCTATGAGTACGGGCCATTTCTGCTGATTAAAACTGCCTTCCTCTGGATGTTTACTGCACATTGTTTCTGGTTCTATAAGTATTCACTCTGAGTCGTTTATCCCTTATGTTGTTCGGACTTGATGATGATGAGACTGACTGGCACAGTACAATGGCCTTTAATTCCTGGATTACAGACATCCACTCTACTGAAAAGAGACGACAGTACAACCTGTCTACACAAGTATAAGACACATTCAGTTCAGACATCATGTTTTTTAAACTGCCAGTTTAATGCTGATGAGACGTATTATTAAGCATCTGTTGGATATATTGTTCATATACTGTCAGACTTAGTCAAATGGTGGTAAAATGTCAACAGCAGTAGTACTTTTTGGTTCTATTAATGTTTTGGACATCTTCACTTAGGGGTGAACTCACTTTTGTTGCCAGCGGTTTAGACATTAATGTCTGTGTGATGTGTTATTTTGAGGGGACAGCAAATTTACACTGTTATACAAGCTGTACACTCACTACTTTACATTGTACCAAAGTGTCATTTCTTCAGTGTTATAATATATTTGATATAATCAAATATTTACTAAAATGCGAGGAGTGTACTCACTTTTGTGAGATACTGTAAGTATTCCATCAAAATACACTTTAAGTGCCAAAGGTAAAAGTTCTCATTTTGCAGGATGGTCCATTTCAGAATAATACATACAATAACACTGCATTATAATTAGTGATGCATTAATATTTAAGCATCACTAATTTATTAGTTGATTTATGTTTTGTATTAATTATGTGAATCTTCAATGTAACTAGCAACTAATGTCGTCATATAAATGTAGTGAGTAAAAATTACAATATTGGCTTCCAAAATCGTAGAAGTATAGATGAGCATAAAATGGACATACTGAAATAAAGTAACTCCAAATTGTATTTAAGTACAGTACTTGAGTTCATGTAGTTATATACATTACACTCCGAAAGCAGTAGTACTAATGTACTTTTGTCTAGCAGTACTCATACCAATAGTAGTACTTTTAAGGAGCAGTGATAGTAGTAGAACTAGTAGTAGTAATAACATATTTCATACATATAATCAGTGGAGATACACACCAATTAAATCAGTCGTCCACATTGATGCTGTTGTTTGACTCACAGTAAATGTCTGACTCTGCAGGTCTTCATCATGTACTTCAAGCCGAGTACGTTCAGGTGTATTCTGCTGCGCTGGGTTCGAATGCTCGGCTTCTCCATCGTCTACGGCACAGTCACACTGAAAATGTACAGGTAGGTTGGCATTTTATTTTATTTTACAGTAACATCCCACAACAGGTCAACACAACAATAAGGCCACCAACGTTTAGTTGATTAAAAACATAGAGATCTCATCACAGTCTGTACTTAGAATAGTATATATAATTATTAATTAAATTATTATAATAATAATTTTGAAGTGATACTTCTAGTTTATAAATCTGATCTCGTTGAAGAATATAAACCCAGATTTGATCTTTAGGAAGCAGTCAGCAGGTAGAACCTCGAGTCAGACCCAAACAAAGTGAAGCTGCGATGCTGCACCTGCACAGATGGAAGCAACTTCCTGATGATCTATAATGCACCTGTTCCCCTGAGCCTATGATTACCTATTAGTGCTCTGTCACTGTATTTCTGTTCTATTCTATTTGGACTTTATTTAGTGTTATTGTATTTTATCTAATCTAAACATATTGAAATGCACCAGCTGAATCTTGGACAATCACAACTGACTGAAATATAATGAAACTTCACAGTTTCTAAGTTAAACTACTTGTTTTTGATCTTCCTCATAGAAATGAAAAGTTGAATTCATAAGACATAAAAAAGGCAGGTTGCAGGGAGCTCAGATGGTAGACAGTGTGCCCCATGTACAAGGCTGAGTCCTTATAGCTGCAGCCGGGGCTCAATTCCAGCCTGCCCTTTGCTGCATATCGTCACCTCTCTCACTCCTTCATTTCCTACTTCTCAATCCTATCTAAATAAAGACTAAATGCCCCAAAAATATCTTAAAAACAATAAATAAAAAGGCACCCTTGCTCAATTCAACCTGCTGCAGTCTTACTTGCTCTGGTGTGACCAGTCTCTTAATGTTCTCTAATGTCAGCTAACTTCACATAGATATTGCCTGTAACTGACAATACTGAGTCTGTTCACAGACTCTATGACTCTCTTCTACTTGTGCTACAGGTACACAACGTCTCCATAAACATAATTAACATAATCGTAAAATAAGCAAAATATGTAAATATACCTTACCAGAAACATGGTTCCTGTTTCCTAACTGTGGGAAAGGAAAATTAAATTTACTATTATCCAATTATTTTGTTTAGCAAAAGTTATATAGTCTTACTTTAAAGTCCTTAAACCTAAAAAGTTAGTTCCAACAACAACATTTTGTCTTCAGCGGTCAAATACTGATTGATCCTTGCCTCTGCACAGGGTGCTGAAGGTGTTCCTCTCACGCACGGCCCAGAGAGTGCCCTACATGTCCAGCCTCCACCTGCTGAGGATTCTGGGAGTGATGCTGATGACAGTCAGCTGGTTCCTGTGTGCGTGGACTGTGGGTGTCCTCCAAAACCGCGACAGGAACATCCCAGTGTTCATCACAATGACCACATCAGACGGGCAGGGGTTCAACCTGTGTTACCTGGACCGCTGGGACTACATGATGGCTGTGGGTGAGTGTCAGTAGACAAACAGCGTGTGAGGCATTCTGAGCTGATAGATCCTTTCACTCCAACAAGCAGTTATTATTAAATTGTTTTTTTTGTAAGTATTATTGGTATGTTTATGTAATATACTGATAAGTTAGAATGGATAATACATTTTTTAAATAAACAATAAATTCAATTTGCTCATATTTTAACCTTAAACAATAGTCAAGTAATTATTACGCTAAAACCAAAGACTTTACTACAACAAAATCCTATTAGAAATCTATGAAAGACCAGATTATCAGACCGGTTAGCTAACTGTGGATTATAGAGACACATTTTATTTTCTTTTAGATAAAACCTGAAATGTCAGTAATAATGCGTCATTGTACAGCAAACCTACACAACTACAGTAATATGGTAGGTCAAAGTTGAACCATAAAACTACAAAAATAAGGCCAAACTTGCTTATTGACTATATTGGATGGCAGTTTTCACACATTATTTAGCATTTCATCAGTATTAGATTCCTTCACTATTCATATCTGAACTTTCAAGCGGTCAGCATTTCCTCTGTCCTTACTTTCTTCAGCTGAGCTCCTGTTCCTGTGCTGGGGCAGCTCCCTGTGGACCGCCGTCAGGCCGGTCCCCTCAGCCTTCCATGAACCTCGCTACATGGGCATTGCCATCCACAACGAGCTGCTTCTCTCCACCATGTTTCACCTGTTCCGGTAAACAACAAGCATTTCTCTGTACCTCAGATGCAGCACAGCTAATCTGAACAATACACACAGCAGTGTATTTGTATACAAAAAACACAGTGTAACATGATTTTGTATTTTCTGTCTCCCTCAGGTTCACTTTTCCCTCTCTCCATCCTGATTGGATGTTGCTGCTCTCCTTCACACACACTCATGTGACCATCACTGTGACACTCGCCCTGCTCTTTATACCCAAGGTACTCAGCATTTGTGTGTAGAATAAGGGGTCAGAGTAGAAAAAGTAATCTTGATGATACATCCTTGCTCTTGACACTTCATCTTGATTTATTTTAATAACTTTAATGTACATGTAAACTCACCAGAAGTGACAGCTCCCACTGCTTTGCACCTTGTAATCGTTCAGATGATGTATCTAGACTGAAATGTACATTTAATATAGTGATATATTGGAGTAATGGGACACGTTCAAGTGCTTTTGGCAAAGTGGAAGGAAAGTGCATGAAAGGTCAAACTAATCCACTCTCATTATTGTAGCCTGCTTGTCCAACCAATGATTTAGTGAATACAAGTGTCATTGCGTATTTTAAGTCATTCAGGATTTCAAGAAGTACTGCGTCAAAGGCACAACAGAACACACACAACAGAAAGCAAAATTGCTGAGTGGATAAAAAATGATGTTCCAAGACTCTGTAATGCTAGCTAGCTAAATGCTCCATTATCATAGTGACCGCATTCCCTTCAGTTAGCATTTAACTTAGTGAGTAATGCTACAGTTTAGCATATAATGTTTAGTATTAGTGTTAAAATGCATACCATGAAAGTCTTTGTGACAATCCATCCAAGATTTTACTGTGGACAGTGGATCACCAGCCCTACACACATTAATGAATGTGCATGACTACACTGTTGTTTTAACGTGCAAAAGATTACATATTAATTGTATGCCTGTGTGTCTGTTCCACAGTTCCTTTATGTGTCCAAGCCTGTGAGAGAGGAGATTGCAGCAGAGGTGTATGAAGATGAAGTGGACCTTCGGCGCTCCGGCTCATACCTCAACAGCAGTTTTCACTCTGCTTGGAGTGAGCACAGTGTGGACCCGGATGACTTTCGGGTAAACTCTATTGTCCCCTCAGAACGATGTTATCACTTTGCATTGGGACATCATTTACAAAGGGTAGAAGAAATTCCAAAGCTCACATTTAAAGAAAAATAAATGTCCCTTAATGTCAGTTATGACCACATGTAGACTCAATTAAACAGATCTTAAATGTATTATAATTCAAATCATAAATCAACAGTAAATACAATCAACAATTTCTCCCCCCTTTATCCTTCTCTTATCCTAAACTGTGTTCTTCTTACCTTTCCTCTGACTTGTTACTCTCCATATCTTCTCCTCTCCACAATCATTTCAACCATTTCCTTAATCCCTTCATCAATTCCCACCCTTCTTCATATGCACCAGGATGAACTGAAGAAGTTATATGCCCAGTTAGAAGTCCACAAGACCAAGAAGATGACTGCAAACAACCCTCATCTGTCAAAGAAACGAAGTTCTCGATGTGCACTGGGGAGATCCATTATTAGACGCATTGCTGAGATCCCAGAAACCATGAGCCGGCAGTGCAGCCGCGAGGAGAAAGATGGATCCTTCCACAGTAGAAGCGTGAATCTGTCTGAGTCTTTCAGGAGGGCCCCAGATACAGTATCTGTCAGTATCAGTTACAGGAGTTCAGTGAGAACACCATCTCCATCCATGCGCAAGTCTCAAAGCGATCATCACTATGTCAGGGAAAGAGACTCTTCTTTACGTGACTCCATGTTAAAGGCCAACGCTGTGAAGAGATCATCCCGGCGATCTGAGACTGATTCTTTGGATATTCCACCAGGGGTTTGTAAGTCAGCCAGTGCCCAAAATCTGACAATCGATACCAATCTCCTGCATCCTGATCATACCAAGCTCCATAAGTCCTGGAGTCTAACCTCAACTACCGCCCATTCTATGGAGAACATAGCTAAGGTTAACAGAGCCAGCACAGTGCTGACAAGGTCCAGGCAGAGCATATCCATTAGTGATCAGACCAGGAGTGCTCTCAAGTCAGAGTCATTTGACAAGGCTGAGGTCTGTCCTTGGGATGTGGAGCAAGAACAATCAGGGGACAAGAACCAGAAGCATGTCACCTACGCAAATTCTGAGAATTGTGAGCAAAAAAGGGCAATATCTCCCGAGGCACTTATCTGTCCCTGGGACCATTTACCACCTGTAGACAAGAATCCTTCAGAGGACAAGGCAACAAAAGGTGAAACTGAGTCCCCCAAACCACAGCTCACTGTGTCTGCAAGTGCACCAGGCACTCCAAGACCAAAGGTCACAAAAGATCAACGCATCTTTTCCTTCCGCACCACTACCACTAAGTGGCTCTCTGTGAAATCCATTATGGGATCCATGGATGCAGGAAGCAAGGAGGGAAGTTTACATAAAGAGGATTCTGTCTCACAAAAAAGTCAGGAAAGTGCTTCCACAACACCAAGATCAGGGACATCTAGCAGACGTCCAAGCATAGAAAAGAGGTCACTGCAGAAAAGAAGTATGACAACGGATGGAAAACCATGCCTTGTGAAGCAGAATGCCATCAGACTGTCCTCTGGGGATTCTACAGACAGAAGCCCAAGAAGGCTTGTTATTGTCAAATCTGCAGTCTACCCTTGGGACATGGAGGATATGCAAAAAGATGGCACCTATGAAAATGTGTTCTTATCAAGGCAGAATAGCAAACGTAGTAGTATAAGTTCTTGGGAAACTGCCAGCAGCTGTAGAACTCCTTCGACCCGCAGAAGAGGTAGTTATCGAAGAACACCAACCCGTAATGTTTCCTATGCAGATGTGTGTCCATGGGATGGAACTGGTACTTCTGGTACTTTCCAGGAAGAAGAGGGATCAAAGAAGCAGCAGAGCATTAAAGCAGACGTCTGCCCTTGGGAATCGCAGGTATCTGAACCATCTAATGTATGTCCATGGGAATCGCAAGAGCCAGGGGATGTGAGAAGACGAGGAAGTACCCATAGTAATGTATGTCCGTGGGAATCTCAAGAGCAAGATAAAGCGAAAAGACGAGGAAGTGCTCATAGTAATGTGTGTCCTTGGGAATCGCAGGATGTTCCCGTTATTTATCATAGTAAACCATCCATAGATTCACAGACACAACAGTCTTTAAAACGTGCAGCAGACATATGTCCCTGGCAGACTGCAGAAACTCCCCAACCTTCAATAAGGCAAGAAAATGAATATTCTAATGTTTGTCCTTGGGATGTTCAGGACAAGCCTGACGTTGTATATGAAAATCTAAGTCCTTTGGAGACCAAGGGAACGCTGACAGTGCCCTTTCGACAAGAAGTTATGAAACCTGCAGTCTACACGGCGGCATCAAAAGAGCAGAGTTTAAGTAATGAGCAAAAATACAACGCAAAATCACCTGCCCTGCATTTGGGCAGACAAGTGACCAAGACAACAGAAAGTTGTCCATGGGATTTCCCTGATCCCCCTAAAACGATGGAAAACATTTGTCCATGGGAAGAGAGCAACACAGAGCCAACAAATACAAACACAATCTCACAAATGATCATCAAGGTAGATATTTGTCCGTGGGAGACTGGACATCAAGACAAACCAGAAGACTCACTACAAGGTGTCTTGCCTTTGAAAGCTGCTTCTATACAGACTGAAGGAAAAGACGGCACAAGAGTAAACATATGTCCCTGGGAAACTGAGCCCCCTGAAAAATCCGCAGCTAGCAAGATGGGTTCACAAGGACTGGAAAGACTGGCAGATGTTTGTCCATGGGATAGTAGTGAACCAGAATCAGGAAAATCAGAGATCCCCAAAACATCAGAGAGTCATATAAGGCAAGACACAGCTCGTGCAGATGTTTGTCCATGGGAGACAGAAGCACCAAAGGTTCTGAAAAAGCAAGATAGTGCTCTGGCAGATGTTTGTCCATGGGAGACAGAAGAGCCCAAAGTTCTCAAAAAGCAAGATAGCACTCTGGCAGATGTTTGTCCTGGGAGACAGAAGAACCAGGAGTTGTCAAAAAGCAAGACAGCACTGGAGCAGACATTTGTCCCTGGGACTCTAAGGATCCACAAACTTCAACCCAAAGTCAAGCTGATATTCCCAACACTGACAAAGATGAAGTCATAGAGAACCAGGAGCCACTTAATGTAGAAGATACTCCAGCAGATATCTGCACAGAGCAGATGGAGTCCAAAGAAAACCTAGCCCTGGGCCGCCGTGATGCTTTGTGTCCCTGGGAGATGGTAAGGAGCAGATCTGGCTCATTCACAGACAATGCCTCTGACATTTTTACATGGGAGCCTGAGAATATTCCTGAGGAAGATGAAGAGGACGATGCAGAATGTGCTGCTGAGGCTCTTGTATTCCCACCTGACTTGTGACCTAAATCTAGCCCGCATTTGCTTCCACTTTTGACCCCTCGTGCTAAAGCAAGGGCAATGTGAACTCTTTAACCATTTTTGGTGGCACCCTGTGGAAGGGGAACGCTGAACTTCTCCAGCTCCACGGGGAGGTCAGAGAACAGGGTCAGCTCACTAACAGCTTCTGCAGCGTGCAGAGCTGAGAACCCTTTTCTGCTGGACAATTACCTGGGCTACTCAAAGACAAAACTTAGGGCTGTGTTATTTCAGGTTGGACTATCCATTTAGGCTATGCCACTATCTGACTAAGCCTGTAGTTGAGACTTGATGAGCTGGACACAATAAGTTGTGCAAACCTGATTGAAAATGTTTTCTTTTAACTGGAGCACATATTGCACACTCAGTATGTCCCTAATCAATCCAGCAGTAAACTACAAACTGATTTCTTGGCTGATGGAAGGGCATCTAAGGCATTTAGATGAAGTCCCTTTTCTTCCTGCTTCTACCCCCCCATTTTAAATTAAAATGTTTTTGTGTGTCTTTGTATGTTTTTAGGTGACAATTCACATATTTGCCATGTACGTACAATATGCTGGACCCATGGCTGGGGTACATATGTTACAAAAGCTGAACTTAACAAGTCTACCGTGCTCACAATCACAAATAGCACAGGGCCTAAAATATGGAACTTAATTAAAGATGGAAGCCTAACCAGCATACACCAGATAAATTCAGCCTAATAGTGGACATATTTTCAAAGTACAGGAAAGTGTTACATGTAAAGTAGCGCCACCAGAACTACAGTTGATGACAATTTACATTTCTACCAGGTATTAATGATTAATACAACTATGCAAACCTGTTTGCTTAAGACTGATTTCATGACTAAAGGCCAATAATTGATATTACTCCCTTACTTTTGATTCAGTAATAAAAAAAACATAAATTTAAATAAACTGCAGTGAAAAGCAGCCTAAACATTTTATATCTGTGCATTTAGAAAGTCATGTCAATGCCTTTTATGTGGATGCAGCTCACTGTACACCAGTTTCATTGAGATGGGACAATGTGATTTAATATTAAAAACACACTGTGAAAAATAAGTTTTTAAAAAATGTTTGGCAATTGCAAAGAACATCAAATTGTATGTCCTATACAATTTGATGTTCTTTGTAATTTTTTTGCAGTTTATGTTGCAGCTAACCTGACCTGCTTCCAAATTTTCTCCATCTAAATGCTGTAAATAATGTGAGTTATGGAGGTAAGGCCTCAGTTTCAATGAAGAATAGGGCTGCCCCTATCTGTTGAATAACTACAAACATTTTTGTCAGGGTACTTTATGCAGATAATGATAATCATTTTAAAAAGTCAAATCTTTGGCGACACTTTAATATTCATAAATATTCCTTGAAGTCTTTGAAAGGAACTAGATAAGAGATTCTTATGCATGACTCCATTAATATGCAGACGACCGATAATACTGGAGAAATTACAGATTTTATTTCAATTAAATCAATTTATGGATTAATCAAAGATGTCTTGTGACTATTAGATATTTTTATAAGAGTGGCCCTACCTTTCATGTCTGACATTAATGAGTCCTACTTTCAGAATCATTATGTTTCAGATACAGACAACTGCAACTTTTTAAAACCCAGTATTATGTTGAAAAAGGTTTTATGAAAAATAAAACTTAATATTAACAGTTTTCTGTATTGATGTAATTGAGTATTGTGTCTATGCCAGCAATTTGTCTGTGAAATCAGGTGTTTTTCAGCACTTCTGCTACAGTGACTAGGTTTTTCATTCAGTGATCTCATTGTTACACACTGCACCAAGTTTTTTGTCAATGGAGTGACCTAGTTCTGTGAGCATTGTTGCATGTAAGTGTGTTTTTGAATGAGTATGCTGTAAATTGTTGTTCCGTAAAAAAAAAAAATCTAATATTGTTGTAACTTGCATAAAGAAACAGCCTATGCTCGGTTTTCCATTTTGTATGCAACATCATCTATAAAAGATTATTCTGATAAAGAGAATCTACTGGTGTGAAGAGAAGCAGATGGGGCACTTTATTTTTGTATTTCCTGAGGTCAACATGCAGCACAATCATCAGAGAAATAAACCATATCATTTCTGGAGATCTGAACATTTTATTTTATACATGTACATGTTAATTTTATTTAAAAAAAAGAAAACTTGAAAATGTTGTGACTATTCTGTGGTAATTCATCGCAAAGACAGAAGCAGCTTTATTGGCTGCAGGACACAGTGGTTTGTTCATCCTAAATCTCACCTGCTGTTTCCATCATTTCAACAGCCAACAGAGTTTTTCAAACAGATAAGAGCCTCCAAAGGAAGCCTGGTTTCCTGCCAAAGTGGACAAACTAACCAACCATGGCCAAATTTTAAACAGCATTTGGCCCATGCCTGCAGATAATATCCTCCTGTGGTTTGATGAAAAGAGCAGTGCCACCTGGTGGCCTATTTGTTCCACTGAACTGCCTCTGGTTTGGGAACTTCATAGTTGAGGGCCTCAAACTCTTGTCCTGGCTTCAGCTCTGGACCAGGAATCATCACAGTCTGAAAAAATGTAAGAAGAGCAGATGAGTATCACTTGTTAGCAGAGTCAAATGTTAATAAAATATATTTAAGTGCCATCTAATCCATACTTGTGTTTCAAGGGGAATTAACCTTCAGGACCAAGATGAGAAAACAAGTTTGTGATATCCAAAAAGTATTGTATTATATCACAATAAATGGTTTCCCAGAATTTCTTAGAATTAGGAGGTATTTGCTATTTACCTTAGTTATTTTACAAGTAAATACTTGGAGGTTCACCACTTACTGTCCCCTAAACCCTAGAGCTGCAATTGTGTCAAATCTGGATTTTGTTTCTCTTTGATTTCATGGACTACAGCTGGAGTCCTGCTTTCATTTGTCAGCTGACCTGACAGATTCTGATTGACAGGTGGCAGAGTCTAAAATACCCACAAAGAAATAGTCAAACCTCAGAGGTTTGCTGAAACTGAGTTTAAGATATACTGTATATCATGTAAGAGCTTCAAGGTGTTTTAAAAAAAGGAATGTCTAGAAAGAAATCATGAAATGAATCACTTTTGGTAAAGACAACCAATATACAATAAAACATACGTTTAAATATTTTTGGAGGCACACCGTTTAAGACTCATTCTGTTGCGATAAATTACATAAATCTAATTCCTCCTGTTTTCTTATTGAGGGATGAAACGTTCTGCTTTGTGATCACATTAATAAGCTCCTTATTGTCACATTAACGAACTATGAGAATAAAGAAGGGATCTCCTGTGTCATCACTTTAAAGGATTCTTTGGGTATTTTTGAACCTGGACCCTATTTTCCCATATTTTGGTGTTAAAATGACTGGTAGGTACAAAAAGTTTTGGAATTTGTTCAGTAGATGGCTTCAGACGGCAGACTTTGGGGGAATTGTGCCCGTCAAAATTACATCCACAAAAGTGCTTATGTTTGCCTTTCAATTGTCCTTGAGCGAGACTTCAGTTTCCTGTTAAAAACAAAGGGAGTCACTCTTAGGGATCCTTTCCATGATAGTGTCAGACACCTGGTATAATATTAATTATGGAAAGGTGCATTTACATATTGCCTTACTTATTGTAACCTTGGATTTTTATACATGTTTGGTCGACTGTTATCCTTTTTATCTCTTGTATTTTCGGCTGAATTTGCTTTGCCGGTGCTTCAGAACCTACTATCTGGGCGGATGTGTGGTTTTTGTTTGTGTATGTATGTTTTGTCTGCGAAGCTGCAAGTGCACTTTGGGCCAAAGAAAAGTTTCTCCTTGGTGACAATAAAGTTTATGTAATGTAATCTAATAACAGTATGACCTGTCGTGGCAAAAAGAAGCAGTTTTTGTGGACGTAAGTTTGATGGGCCCCAATTGCCCTGAAGGAATACGCTGCAGTCAGTTTGCGGCTGCCAGCTGAAGCCAACTACTTCACAGATTTCATAACATTTTATACCTACTAATCAATTCAACCCAGGTAGGGCCCAGGTTTAAAAAGCACCAAAATTATCCTTTAACATTTTTGCAGCACACTGATGGTGAAGCTTTTTTTTTTACGATCTATCAGAGCAGGGTAAGAAACACCTTCCAGGCAACATTACCGCTCCATCTGTCTGCTATATCTGAGACACAGCAGGGGCTGACTCACAGATTTAAGGTGATTATATTCCATGTTTTGCAGTGATGCGTATAATGCAAGTCTGGTTCTATTCCAGTCCTACATTGTGAAAAGTGGCGCAGACACTCAACATGACCTCTCAGGTAATCAGATTTTAACAAGGCTTTGTGTATCCTTTGCTGATGCTCACATGTTTATTCTTGAGGAAACTTGTACCATATGAGAATAAATTATAGGCAACAGGTCATGAAATCATATAAATTTTAAATGGTAGTTCATGTGCATAAGACTTAACCACAACATCCTATTCCTCCTGCTGCATGTCCAAAATATGTATATGTAATGGAGATATGCTAGGTAATAAAACTGTTGCAGAGAAGAAATGTGGTTTATTCCTGCTTTCACACTGTGAACAACATAATCAGGTCGACAGGAGTCCTCTCGCTCAGTCTAGAGCTTAGCGATCGGGAACACACTGATATTATTCAAATGCTCAAACCTGTAGACTGAGGAACATTAGCTCTTTATGCTTAAGGAGCCACCTAAATTACAAAAAATATATTTTCTCATTTACCTCTAGTGGCATTTAGATATGCAGATAGTTTTGCCTTTATTTGTCTAGGTTTTGAAATATCTGGGTCTGAGATTTCTGTCTCAACATTCACTGGTATTACTTTCTATCATACAAAGAGTCCATATGAAAACTGTTGACAGTGTGTTGTGTGGATTATCCAGAGTAACTGGGACATTGTTTCTTGTTTCATGTTGCTGTCGGCTTTTAAATGTAATCGATTCAATAATGATAGCACCACAAATTTATTTTATTAGGATGAAGGCAGAAATATCAGAGATAAATGTCTCCCGAACTGGGCAAATCAAATAAAAGCTATTTGTCAACAGCTCTGCATG